GCCTCCGCCGCGAAGCCAGGCCTGGGGCAGGAGGCGACCGACCACCGCCTCCCCCCACCTCCCCGCGCACTTCGTTGGCTGCGGGGTGCAGGCCAATGGGCGCCCGGGGGAGGGGTTAGGTGGGGGGCGGGGTGGGGGGAGCAGGACCCCGCCCGCTGCAGACAGGAGCTTCGCGCGGAGACCTGGGGGCAAGGATGCGGATGCGGAGGTGGCGACAATCCCCCTTTGTCGCCTGGCTTCTGGGGCTCAGAGTCGGGCCTTCCCCGGGGCTCACCTCCCTCCTTTCAGCCCTCCCCAACATGCCCAGAGTGAGAAACTCTCTTCCTTCGCTCTCCCACGTCCTCCTGATTCTGTCAGAGCCTGGTCTTCCTGATTCCTTGTCTGTCAGAGCCAGTGCCTCCTCCTCCTGGAAGCCTTCCTTACAGGGCAAGTCCCAGACTCTCCTTGAGATTCTCTTTGCACCCCACCCCACCCCCAGCCCCCAGCCCCGGCTTGGGAAGGTCAGCTAGCTTTGGGGTGCCTGCCTGGATGTCCTCAAATGTGATCCCCTAGAAAACGGCGCCTCTGTGGCCAGAAAAGGGAGGGTGGGGCCTTAGAGGGGGTCTACAGCAACTTAAAATGATGGTGATCTGGGGTCAGACTGCATAGGCTCCAGCCCCTGCTGTATCAGGGCCAGCTCTGTGAGGGGCAGGTGACTTCTCCCAGCCTCGGCTTCTTCACCTATACATGGGAAACTTAGTACCTAACCCACACCTCTTGACAATAGCATTAAATAAAAATGGTTCACACACCCCGTAGTATGTTTTCAGCGATTTTATCTCATCACCAATGAATTACTTACTGTTGCTACTGTTATTGTGGTGCTGCTCAACCTCCTCCTAGTACAGATGGTTAAATTGAGGCTTAATAAGGGGAACTAAACAGGTTAAGGTCACATAGCCAGTCGGTGGTGGAGCCAAAGCCCAACTGAGAACAGTTACCCACTCCCAGGCCAAGAACTTACCTTCTGCCCACCCCCACTTGGCCAACCCACCGCTTCCGCCTGCCCCTGCTTGCAGTTTCTGGTCACTGCCCCACGTGTCAGCATACCAAGAGCTCTCTCCATACCCCCATCTGCAGTTCTGCAACCAGGCTCTGTCTTTCCTTAGTCAAGTAAGTTATCTTCCAGTCTTCCTGTGGGCCCAGGTTTTGGGTGTGGCCACCTTGTTGAGGAAGCCTCAGGAAGAAGGAGGGAGGGAAAAGAGACTGGAGTCTTTCCTTCGGAATTCTAGTCCAGCTGAGAAGGAGACACTGGTTGATGGAGCAGGAGTCCATAATGGAAACTATAAAGGAAGTATCTGAGGACCCAGGGAGATGCAAGGAGTTCCCAAGGTCCACTCATCCAGTTGATGGTTTCCTTCTACTGCACGGTGAACACTGGCTCCCTCTGCTACACCATGGTCTGCATGTCTTCTGTTTCTTTCAGTCCAGGAAAGCTTCCTGGAGGAGGAGTATATCAGTCCTTCTCTATATCAGTAAAGAGTGAGACCACTCTGGAGAGAAGAGGGCCTGGTGCCAAGCTAGAGTCCTTTTGGACCTGGATACACCCCTTTCTAGATGGTCCCCATGACCCCTGAGAGCCTACTTTCTCCATCTGCTTCCATCTCCAGTGTTGTGATGATCAAATGAGATGCTGTGTGCGAAAGTGCTCTGTAAACTGTGAAATGTCGTGAGGGGGGAAGGAAAGGCTGCCAGGAGTCTCGGAGTCAGGAGGTAAACCTGGAGCATGGGATGTCGGAGGCATAAAGTAAGGAAGGGTGGAAATCAGCATCAGCTATAGCAGGCAAGCCAGCTCTCCCTGGAAATGTCAGTGGTCCCCTTGGCTCTGAGTCTGCATTCAGTGCCAGCTTTATCCCCTTTTCCATACTGTTAGTTCTCCAGGTCCCTCTCTGGGTCTCGGTCCCCTGTTCTCTGTTCTGTGTCCCAGATGTATGTCTTGGTGCGGGCAGTGAACAGGTTGGACACCCATTCCTTTCTGCCTGAGCAGACAGTGGATGGCGGGTAACCCGCGGTCCTCTGCTCACACCCATTCTCTTCACCTGTTCTCCCTTTGCTTCAAGGCCCCTAGCCAGATGGTAGACTCCTAGATGACCACAGCTAGGAGGTCAGTCAGGGCTCCAGGTACCAGTGTGCAATCCGTGCCCTGCATGGGGCAGGTAGGGGTGGAAATCCAGCCCACTGCCCACCAAGCCAGGCATGCAGAGTCCACCCAAAAAGGGCACCTTTTCTAGTTGGTCCTGGAGGGAACAACTCTAATTTTCTCCAAGGCGGTGCGTGGGCCAGCAGCCCTTGTAGATGGCTTCTAATCCCAGCCCTAGCCGGCAGCGTCAGCCTGGGTAAGGCCTGGAAATGAACATCAGGGCTGGGATCCAGGAAGCCTGGCTAGTCTCCTTCTCTATGAATGAAGTGCCCGAGCCTAGAGGGGCTACAGGACTGGCCGGAGGACACACTTATCAGACTGGAGACTAAAGCCTGTGTCCAGATGCCCAGTTCAGTATTGTCCTACCTGGTGGGTGCCCCTATCACACTGGAGCAGGCTGTGCTTTCACGCCCAGGACTGTCCCCTGCCTGTCCTCTGCCTGTGCGGGCGTATGGCTCTGGTCTCTTCGGTCTTGGTTCTCCTAGAGCAGGAGCTATGCCAGGTCTGAACCCCCAGACTGGGTCTCCCCAAGGACAGGGTCAGAATCACCTTCTTCCAAGACAGCCAGCTCCACTCACCCTTTCGGGGAGACTGGAGGCCGAGGGACCCCTGGGAATGGTCTCCCCTCAGAGGAACCCTTGAGTTGCCTTCTCTCCCCTAACGTGGGAGGCTGGAGATCTCCTCAACAGCTTTTCCCTACCCTGAGGTGCTCATGGCCTCAGCTCCCTTCCCCAAGCCAGCCAGCCAGGCGGGCAGCAGCTGAAAAAGATGGGTTTTAATTCAATTTTCTGAGATGTGGCTGAGGGAGATGGATGCCAGGCTGCCCTACCCAGCATTCATCTCTCCTGAGCAGCCGTTCCCTCCCTGTCTCCCGGCTCCCACCCCACCTACCCCACCCGGCTCCAGCCACCCCAGCCCTCATGCTGGGGAGAGCAGCACATTCAAAGACACGGAGGCATTTTTATTGTAAATAGCTGACATTTGCTGAACGCTCACCTTGTCCTGAGCCAGTGCTTCTCAACCCTCCTGGTGCTACAGAATCCTTGGGGAGCTTTAGAAGTGTACCCATGCCTGCTCCTCACCAGCACGATCATTAGACAGTTGGTATGCGGTGAGATCTGGGCAAAAGTGTTTTTTTAAAGCTCCTTGGGGGATTGTGATGTGCAGCCCAGGCTCAGAGCCACCGTCACAGGCCCTCTGCTAAATGCTTTACCTGCACGCGTCCCAAAGTGACGTGCTCGTCTGTCCGGAACCCATGACGGGTGTGCCCAAGTTCTGTCCCTCAGACCCCTGGGCAACATAAGCAGCCTCTTCCACTTTCCCCAGGAGCTGTATA